ATTCTATCTCAAAAAAAAAAAAAAAAAAGACACATTTTCCAACCAGTTGTACAGCAAGGTGGAATGCAGTCAGAAATCCAGTATTTCAACTGCCAAGTGTTTTCACATCGAGGAGGTTCGAATGCTTACCTGTTCCTCTACTTCCTGAAAACTGTCAACATCAGTGCCATTGGTCTCTAACTTTCCACATGTGCCACTAAGAGACGAGCTGCTGTCGCTTATGCTGCCTTCTGGGGTGCCCGTGACACTGTCTCTCGCTGGCCGTGAAGACACAAAGAGGCTGATGTTGTCGAAGTCATCCTCACGGAGCCTGCTCTCGGCATCCCCCTTCCGCGCTCTGGCTGGATTGTAGGGTTTTAGGAAAGAGGCGTACACGTACCCTTTGGCAACTAAATAGGAAATAAGAATCGAAAGGCCACGTGTATATTCTTCCCGAACTTGCACTCGCAGCTGCATACAGAGGCCCCAGGGAAGTCCCAACGAGAAGACGAGTGCAAGTTCTGGAAAAACTTACTTCCGGTGTCAACAAGCCACCTGCTGGAACTCCCCAGGGGGTCTTTCTGTTCCATGACAGCCACCAGCTCTCCTTCCAGAAGACTGATGTCCTGCTCCTGTGTCACGTTGCACCTGCGCTTGGCTTGGTAGAGCTCCTCTGCACTGTAGGTGCACAGAAGCTGGGAGCGGTGACTGTCCGTCTGACGTGGCCCTTCTGGCTGGGAGACGTGAGGACACTGGTTTAGATGGGTGTGTGAGAAGTCCCAACTAACTATGTTGGTAAATATTTCTTTGGAGATTTTCAAAATTTAAAAATCACACATTGATCTGAGATTATGTCAAGGCAGAGACAGAGACAGGTCAGGTTGTTCAGTGAGAAATTCTCTACAAGCACAGAGGGCAGGATTGCAGAGAGGAGGGCAAGGTCAGCCAGGCGGAGGAGGCAGGTTCTAATCCCTCTCGGGTGGTGAGCTACTTGTTAACCCTTTGCCATCTGTAGATAATCCCTCGCACATCAAGTACTTGAAAACTACAATTTGCTTGAGTAAATCAGACATGCGTATGTGTTTTTCTGGAAAATGACACCAGCAAATTTGTCAGAAGTCTATAGGCCCGAATCTTCCCACCTCTGGCACTAAGTGACTTTAAGAAAGCCACCTCAACCCTGGAGCCCTTTCTTATCTATACAGTGAGAGGCTGGGCTATATGATTTATCTCTATAAAATTATGTTCCACAAAGATTTACTCAGGGTCTACCTTGGGTCTACTACCTCAGGGAATGCAGGGTACGTCACGCCCCAAACCGGAAAATAAATCAATAAAGCATGATTTTTTTGAAGCTGTAACAGAGATAAGACAGAGTTAAGCGACTCTATTGAAGCTACAGAAGGTTGGGATGAAATGAGTGTCGGGGAGATAACACGATGCTGTATTTCCGACCAGACAAGAAGCGGGATTCGCCGCTGTCACGGGTGCCGCCACGCTCACCAGACTCTGCACGGGCTTTTTCTTTTCAAAGCTGAGTTTCCTCTCAATGAAGGTGGCACTGTTGTCCTTCACAAAATTCAGATTCTGAACCTCTTCCAGCACTCGGTTCTGAACCACGGAGATGTCTGGGGCCGTCAGTGGCACCTGCAGAAGGAATGACATGGCGTTTCTGACAGTGAGATACCCGTTGCAGGCTGGGTGCAGTGCAGCTGGGGGAGCAGCTGAGACGTGGGGGACAGTGAGAGCAGGGCACCTCTCGAGCTTAGAGGTGAAGGCGGTCTGATTCGCTGCATCTGGAAACCTCAGTAAAGTAATAGGGAGCTTGGGGGGCACAGTTTGTTTTTCTGCTGTAGGGTGTGTACACTCACCACAAAGAGGGAGAGAAAGAGAGAGAGAGAACTGCTGGGGGTGGGGGGGTGGAGGGCTTTGTCACACCACAATCCCTGCTCCATTCTCCTCTCAGGATTTTGGGTGCACACGCACACGCACCTGGAGTGTTTTTTCAAGCCTCCAGGTCTGAGACTCAGACTGCACGGTCAGTCATGTGGGATCTAGCTGCCTTAACTACCAGGCCATCAGCTGGCCTGCTAGCAGAAAATGCACAGATTCAGTCCTAAATCAAAGAGCAGGGGCCAGCAGATGGCACAGCAATTACGCCGCTGGACTCTCGCATGGAAAACCACGGTCTAAATCCCAGACTCAATGGCTTTAAAATCATGCCAGGTGCATGAGTGTGCATGCCCAAGATCCCAGGAGGAGAATGACGAAGGGATTGTGGTGTGGCCATCCCCATAGGGGGGGGATTTTTCATTTTCCCTCTCACTGTCTCTGTCTCTCTCTGATGAGCACACACACCCTAAGGCAAAAACCTCTACCAAAACAAAAATAAAAACAAAACAAAAACAAACAATAATCACCTTTCTAGGGGAAAGGCTCAGGAGTTGATGGTAGTGAGCTCCTCCCAGTGGAGGCGAGGATAGTGACCAGGGGAAAGAGGCTACACAGATCAGCAAATCCTTTGAGGTGCTTCCTATCAGGAGGCAGAGTCCATGTTCTGTGTCTAAAACTGGGTGGGCCTTGAGGGTAGCCTCCGTGGGCAGAATGTGGAAATTTGTGGACAGAGCGGGGCTGCAGTCTGAGCTGCAGGGTGAGGCCAAAGAAGACCATGCGATGCCTGCTGGATTCCCTCAGACACTCGCCCAAAGAGGCTTCCATCACCACGGGAAGGTCTGCAGTGCAGCCACCGCAGAAAGAGTGCACTGGAGGTCCGGGGAGGAGGGTGGGCCCCACGGTGCAGAGGTTAGGTGCTGTGCATAGAGGCCTCCTGTATGGCTGATCACAATTCGAATCCTAGCCCCAAAGCCTTGAAAAACACTCTGAGCATGTGTGCATGCATGCCCCAAATCTTGATGGGTTGGCAAAGTGGAGGAAAAAGGATTGCAGCCTGAACACAGCCCACCGGGGGATCTCCCTAACCTCCTGCAAGCACACACACCCACTGGCTCTCCTTAAGACTTTCCAAATGTGAGATATTCTATCAGATTGTCTTCCTGCAGAGATCTCTTCCAGAGCTTTCCAACCCTCTCCAATCTGAGGTAATTGCCCTTTTTATGATAAACTATAATTCTGGGATTACACTTCACATCATCATTTTTTTTGGGGGGGGGGAGGTCTTTGCTACAAGGGCGTGTGTGCTCGCCAGACAGAGAGAGATAGAGAGACAGAAAGCGAGAAATCACCCCCCAGGGGGATGGCCACACCACAATTCCTTCTCCTCCATCCTCCTCTCGGGATCTTGGGCATGCACACACACGCGCCGGGCGTGAGTTTTAAGCCACCGGGTCCGGGATGTGAACCGCGGTCGACTACATGGGAGTCCAGTGACATAGCCATTACACTAACTGCTGGTCCCCCCACATCATCAGTTTTGTAAACAGCCTCCTTACTGGATTTTCCCTCAAATGCCCTGTTAAAGTGTGTTATATTGTCATGATCCCAGGGTCATTACGGTAGACAAGTCAAATATTCTCAACAGTGAGCGTGAACTCAGCAGAGTGTGCAGACCAGCTAGAGATGCTGCAGAAACTCTGTGCTCCTGTCCACGCTGAGGCCACATGGATGGGCCCAGGCCATGACCGAGGCCTCCCAGTGCCTGCCAGGTGCACGTGCACACACCTGTCATTCTGACCCACTGAGACTGGGACAGATCACAACAGTAAAGACAAGGCGAGAGTTTCTCTTTCCCTCCCTGAAGAAATACACATAAAAGAAAGAAGAAATGGAGGAAGAGAAAGAAAGAGGAACAGAGAGAAGGTAGAAAGGCAGAAGAAAGAGAAAGGAAGGGAGGGAGGGAGGAAGGAAGGAAGAAAAGAAGAGAGGGAGAAAGGAAGGAAGGAAAGAAGGAAAGAATGAAGGAAGGGAGGAAGGAAGGGAGAAAGGAAGGTAGGGGAGGAAGGAAGGGGAGAAGGAAGGAAGGGAGAAAAGGAAGGAAGGAAAGAAGGGAGGGAGGGAGAAAGGAGGGGAGAAAGGAAGGAAAGAAGGAAGGAAGGGAGGGAGGGAGGGAGAAAGGAAAGAAGGAAGGAAGAAGGAAGGAAGGAAAAAAGGAAGGAAGGAAGGGAGAAAAGGAAGGAAGGGAGGGAGGAAGAAGGAAGGGAGGGAGGGAGGAAGGAAAGGAGGAAGAAGGAAGGGAGGGAAGAAGGAAGGGAAGGAGGAAGGAAAGGAAGGGAGGGAAGGTGGAAGGAAAGGAGGAGAGAGAGGGAGGAAGGAAGAAAAGGGAGGGAGGAAGGAAGAAAAGGGAGGGAGGGAGGGAGGGGGAAGGAAAGAAGGAAGGAAGAAAGAAGGAAGGAAGGAAGAAGGAAGGAAAGGAGAAAAGAGAGGGAGGGTGGGGGAAAGGAAGGAAAGAAGGAAGGAAGGAAATAAGGGAGGGAGGGGAAAAGGAAGGAAGGAAGAAGGAAGGAAAGAAGGGAAGAAGGAAGGAAAAAAGGAAGGGAGGGAGGAAGGAAGGAAATAAAGAAGGGAGGGAGGGAAGAAGGGAGGGAGGAAGGAAGAAAATAAGGGAGGGAGGGAGGAAGGCTGAGGACGTTTCTGGGCGGGAACAGGAAAGCAGGCCAGGACCAAGCAGACTCCGGGGGCAGCTTGCAGGCGTTCATGGCTGAAGACAGCCACCCATCACTTAATGGCCTGCCTGTTTGACTATCACGAGGTTTTGTGTTCCACTCTCCAGTGAGGGAACCCCTTTTCCCAGTCTGTGGGCATCTCGGGAATCCCCTTAGGAAGGGAGGGAGGGAGGAAGGAAGAAAATAAGGAAGGGAGGGAGGAAGGGAGGGAGGAAGGAAGGAAGAGAGGGAGCGAAAGAGAATATTACAGGAATTTAGAATATTAGGGGGCAGACAGAGCTGAAAGGCTTCCATATCTGAAAAGCAATCTCCAATAAGAACTGCAAATGTGTAAATCCCTTTAAGCCTGAACTGGGAAACCCTCTCTGTGCTTCTCGTGGCAGAGAGAGATAGAGAGACCACCTGGCCGGCTTCATTTAAACCACGGCTGCCCGCGCCCACGCGGCTCAGGGCTCGCCCGCAGGGGCGCGGTTCCAGGTGCCAGGCGGGAGCTGCGCTTACCGGCCCCGCGGCGGAATGCGCCTGCTGCGCCCGGAGCATCAGGTCTCTCAGGAGGGTGACATAGCTGCCCAGGCAGCTCCGCAGGACCCTCCCTGCCGCCCGGTTGAACGCCTGCAGCTCCTCCACCAGCTGGGCGTTGAGGGCCTCATACTCCTTTTTGGCCAAGTCCGACTCGTCCCCTGCCGACCGCTGCAGGCAGCCGTTGTAGTCCAGCAGCTTGTCGTAGCGTTTCTGGATGAGCTTCTGCGGCCCTGGGAACAAGGAGAGCAGGGCCGCCAGGGGGGTCAGGACGAGCCTCTGCAAGGGAGCGGCCTGCCAAAACAAAGAGGGCTGTTACCCCGCGCGGCTCGCAGGCGCAGCCCCCGGGAGCGCCAAAGTCCGCGGGAAAGCATCCCACGCAGAAGGGTCTATGGGTTTTGTCTACTTAAAGCTGTCCGAGGGCTTCACCAGGACTCCAGGCTCGACCTCTGGGCCCGAAGAGAGAGCAGGAAGCAGAATGCAACGTTGAGCCCACTCACCCAAGATAGAACTCCACCTCCTCTGCGCGCCCATCGCTTTTGCCGTTGGGGTCATCTCCTTTGACACCTCCCCTCCCTCTCCCCTTCTTTATAATCCCAGAGCCAAGCGCTCGGGAGGCGGTGGTGGGGGTTAATCTTCAGGCTCTGACTACTAGGACTGCATCCGGGACCCACCGTGTCGCTCCTACCCTTTACTGGCAGCAAGGAATTTAGTGGGCCTGGGAGGGGACTGTACTTATTCCTCCCACCTATTCCCAGGGGCTCCAAATCCGGCTACCCTTGGGGCTCATTTGAGTTAGAGGAACTGTATTCCCTCTACACAGGGTCACCCTTAATAGGGACGTTTTGCCTGTGAGGCTTTAGGGACCACAGGGTGACTTCCTCTTTAATGCACTGAAGCTGACGCTCATCCGGGACCTCAACCTCCTGTTAACGCTCAGCCAGCCCCGCGCCACCCCTTGACTACCTGGGTGTGCTTTCTCCTTTCTCCTCCCCTCCCTCTGTTCTGAAACACGCTGGCGTCCTGTTTGCTGACCGCCCTGCCTGTCCGTTATCACCTGCGCTAGGTTACTGATCCTGTCTGGAAACACACGAGTAGGTTTCTCCTTTGAACCCCAGAGGGCCCAGGGAATCCGCTGGGGAGCAGCAACTTTTGTTAATGAACTCAAAAGGCCTCTAGTAACTTTGTCTGAGCTCATGGGAAATCTAGAAGAGGGAAACCAATCTCTTATTGGCACCAGCAATAACCAACACAGATTAAATTCGATGTCCGGCTTATGAGATAATCGATATACACCTGCAGACTGTCTAATGAGTCCCTTGACCAAGCAAAGGCTCTATTTACTGTATCAGGGATAAATTGCTCTGTGTGTGACTTCACTGGATTCTATAGGTAATCTAATTGTCATTTTACTATCTATATTTATATATTTTCAGTGACTCATAGATCAACCCAATGCACCTACACATAAGAATTGCGGGTGATAAAAATGCGAATCAGATATATTTTAATATTCTGTCCTTCACAAAATGTTTAGCTCTATATAACTGAATGTTAAATAAGAACAACCTCTCTGCCTTTAGATAGATTTCGAGCGCTTACTATAGAAGTGTATTTTATTGCCAGAGGGCATTGCACTCACCAGAGAAAGACAGTGGAAGAGGGAAAAAGCACCCCCAGTGGGTGTAGTCATGCCACAATCCCTTCCCCTCCGTATTTCTAACCTGTCAGGATTTGGGGCACATGTGCACATGCACCCAGTGTGTTTTTCAAGCTGCTGGGGCCGGAATTCAAACTGCGGTCAACCCTGTGGGATTTGGATCCCTTAGCCACTAGGCTATGGGGCTCGCTCAATTTTTAAAAAGAGTTGTATGTATGTTCCTCATAAAGTAAGTTTTATATTGAGCTTTCAACGCTGTTCCTTTACCCTAATGAATCACCCATGTGGTTTTGTGCTAGGTAAGGCAGGACGCCGTCTCTGCATTCTCCAGACCCTGGAGCTCGCTCTCTGAGGGAGAAACTCGCAGTAGGCTCTCACCACGTGAGAAATATTTGTCAGCTGGAATGAACTGGGATGCAGATAAAGAGCAAATTCTTAAGGACTTTTCTAAACTGTGCTTCTGTACTTAGGCCCAGAAAAGACATGAAGAATGAGTCCCACATTTCTGTTCCACACGTCACAAAGCTGCCCTTGTTTACCTGTCCACGCACGCGGCTGTGATGACCTGGCGCTGGCATCTGAGTTCAGGTGTGACCCTGACTCTCCATCCCCAGTGCTGCAACGTAAGATGCACCTCCTGCCCTTCCCTGGCCAGGACTGTGTCACTTCCCAGGGGCCTGAACTCTGTGGGGCTGTTCGCTGGTTGGCACAGTGGCGTGGGGTGGGGATGTGTTCCTGAAACCTCCAGGCTGGCGAGCCCAGAATGCTGAATGCCCTCCAACACAAGGACCACCCAGTCAAGGTCAGCCAAGGTGGTCTGACAGCAGGAAGTGCCCCCGCCCCCAGGTAACGAGGGGTCTGGTACATCGTCTCTGTTCTTCCTAAACACTACCACAAAACATCAGTGTCTACAGGGGCGCGAGACACCAATTTAAGATCAGTATCCCAGACCAATTTACTACCCAAAGTTTTAGAGGCTCAAGGATGTTTTTATTATAACTAAGCCACTTTGTATAGAACTCTTAGAAAACAAATATTTTACCACAGAACAGCAACAACAGCAACAACGTGATTATTAAATAGAAACCCTATCTCAATAGGAAGGCTCTGCTTCCCAAAGAATTAACTGGGTGGGGGCCGGCAGTTGGTGTGGTGGTTAGAGAGCTGGATTCCCACATGGCCAACCATGGTTCAAGGTCTAGACCTGGCGATGTGCTCATGGCGATGTGCTCTCTCTCTCTCTCTCTCGCTCTGGTCAAATTTTAAAGAAATAATAATGAGTAAAATTAGATTAAATAATTTTTTTAAATCATTAACTGGATGTTAATAAGAATCACATCCTCCAGTGGGCCAGCCCCATGGCCTAGCAGTTAGGGAAGGCAGAGTCCACATGGCTGTTCATGACTCAGTCCAGCTCCAGTGGCTTGAAAAACATGTAGGGTCCATGTGTGCGTGGGTGCTAAGTCCTGACAGGCAGAGGAATGGAGGAGAGGGGACTATAGAATGGCCACACCCCACTGGAGGGCGCTTTCTCCCCTACTCCCACCCTCTTCCTCTCTGTGTCTCTCTGTCTCTGGCAACCCATGTACTTTCTGGCCAAAAAAGAAATAAAAAGAGGCATATCTTTCAAGAGCACCTTAACTCCTTCTGTAAGGACTCAGTGCATTGCCAAAGAATCCTTTAAGAAAATCAAATCAGCTTCCTAACCTAATAAATCTGTGCTATAGTACATGGAGACTTAAACCCAGTATTGATTTTAAAAGCTGCACAGACACTGACCACCCCCAGAAACGCAGTCTGTGGTCTTCTGAAATTTCAATTATAATGAAATCCTTATTAATCCACTTTAAAAAATTCAGTGATTTTTTAAAATCCTGTTTAAACCTCATAATTTTGACATTAGTATTTACTGCAGTGCGTGTTCTATTTCTATCTCCAAAAAAATAAATGAAAAGCAGCTTTTCTTCTAACCCCAGTATTTAACGTGCTTTTATCTGGGGTATAAGTAACTTACAAAGTCGTGACAGGGATTCAGGGCGTCCCTCGGCGTATCCGAAGAGTCCCCCTCGTCCTCGCCTTTGTCGTGTGCGATCTCCCCGAGCCCCATCACACTCTGCAGAGCCAAGGGCACAGCGTCCTGAAACCCAGGAGCAGAGAAGAGCAGGGCCAGTCCCGCGGTCAGTGCACTGAGCACATCCCAGACGCCGACCTCCATCGCAACCCTCCCTTCCCTCGGAGGACTGGGAAACAAAAACACAAAAAGCAACAGCAGCAAAAACCCCCCACACAGCAAGCATTTCATGACTACTCCACAGTCAGACCGCTTGTGACAATCCACGTATTTCATTCCTTCCCTGGGCCCCTCACTCTCTCCTAATGCTCTCTGTGAGTCCCTAAGTCTTGGTGAAGTGGAGTCCATCTTAAATTCCCTTCCGGGCCTTATTTTAGCATTCAGTTCTCACAGGTTCTTTATTTTAAAAAGCATTTCTCTTGGATTTCTATCATTGGTTATCTTTAATGATTTAAGGGCCTATTTAAGTGAAGATGCTCACATTTCTGTCGAGTCAAATCGAGTGAGAAGACTTTCCTCGGTGATGTTCCCTAGACGGTCTCTAAAGGGCAGGGTCCCAGCGCCTTCTGGCTGTTGTAACTAAGCTCTAGTTTTCTTTTTCTTTTTTCTTATTCTTTTTTTTTTTTTTTTTTAACAGAAGTCAGCACTTTAGGAAGAGGTTAGCAATCCTGAGTGTGAGATCGGGCTTTGCATCAGATAATAAGCGAGGACAGAATGGTGCCCAGGCACACATGACATGGAACCCTGTCTCTGAATCACTGTGCCCGTTGTCAGTCCTCGCCGGTGTGGGATTTTATCTAAGTGTGCAAACATCTGCTCCCAGAAACAGACAGCCAAAAGAAAAACTCCTGGGTAAGGTCAGGGGCCATTTATACACCAATTTCCGTGTAACATGACTGACTTTTCTGTCCCGTGGCTCCATTCTCAAGATGTTGGTAAGGGGACTATGTCTTCTGTGACATCCCTTAGAGGGACTCCTGACTGCTCTTTCCACTGAGAATAACTGCGCTGCATGCCCGTTGATTCGCGGGTCAGAGACTCCTGAGAAGGTCAGGGCAAACTCCTAGGGGACTGGAAATTGAGAGGTCATCTCGTCTTCTGGTGCAATGGTGTGAGTATTGGAATAGTGTGGTGTACATATTGTAGTTCTTGAAGCTGATTGTTAAATACTTGCTGAGGTGCTCGAAAGAGATACGTAGTATAATCAGACACACGAGTGGAAATGATTTAAGGGCCTATTTAAGTGAAGATGCTCACATTTCTGTCGAGTCAAATCGAGTGAGAAGACTTTCCTCGGTGATGTTCCCTAGACGGTCTCTAAAGGGCAGGGTCCCAGCGCCTTCTGGCTGTTGTAACTAAGCTCTAGTTTTCTTTTTCTTTTTTCTTATTCTTTTTTTTTTTTTTTAACAGAAGTCAGCACTTTAGGAAGAGGTTAGCAATCCTGAGTGTGAGATCGGGCTTTGCATCAGATAATAAGCGAGGACAGAATGGTGCCCAGGCACACATGACATGGAACCCTGTCTCTGAATCACTGTGCCCGTTGTCAGTCCTCGCCGGTGTGGGATTTTATCTAAGTGTGCAAACATCTGCTCCCAGAAACAGACAGCCAAAAGAAAAACTCCTGGGTAAGGTCAGGGGCCATTTATACACCAATTTCCGTGTAACATGACTGACTTTTCTGTCCCGTGGCTCCATTCTCAAGATGTTGGTAAGGGGACTATGTCTTCTGTGACATCCCTTAGAGGGACTCCTGACTGCTCTTTCCACTGAGAATAACTGCGCTGCATGCCCGTTGATTCGCGGGTCAGAGACTCCTGAGAAGGTCAGGGCAAACTCCTAGGGGACTGGAAATTGAGAGGTCATCTCGTCTTCTGGTGCAATGGTGTGAGTATTGGAATAGTGTGGTGTACATATTGTAGTTCTTGAAGCTGATTGTTAAATACTTGCTGAGGTGCTCGAAAGAGATACGTAGTATAATCAGACACACGAGTGGACTTTCTGCCTCATGCAGCTTTGCACTAACGAACTCATCTCTGCTGCAAAGCATGCTGGTGCCCCGAGTGGCAATGACCTCAGCAGAGACCTCACACTGTGGGACGTGGGCCAGGGCTGGCTGGAGCAGAGGGGACAGACCAAACCCACGTCTTCCCAGCGGCTTCTTCAGCAGCAGTCCCCGCCTTCCCAATGACCAGTCACAGTCACCCTTCAGAATAACCATGGGAAGGAATGCATTCTGCAGAAACTTCCAGAACACAAGGTCTCACCTACCTGGGTGTGTTGAAGGCAGGACGAGATGTTCTTCACACAGAGCCTCACAGTCTTTTCTAAAGACCGAAAAAGCTTTTCTTCTCTGTTAAAGGTATTGTCTTTCACCTGAAAATACAGTAAACTATTTCCATAGCTCAAGTAAATCTGGTACTGAGAAAATCAGTGCACATATTACCAAAAATTCCTCGTGGATATGGAAACCTTTTATGGCGGTGACTGTCTCCCCACAGTACCTCCGTGTCGGCACACAGCCGCGTGGCATTCGGTCTGCGCAGCAAAGCCACGTGACACGCTTACTTTGCTGTCGTGCACCTTCTCATGGCCCCGCCTATGTCGCAATGGTTATAAGGCTGTAAAGCTTTTCTCTGCAGATTTTTACAAAGTGTTTCCCAGAGGGTAGGGCATGTGCATACACTAGAGAGCGAGGGAGAGAGGTGAGAAAGCATCACCGTGGGGGATTGCCACATTGCACCCTTTCTCCTCCGCCTCTCCCGCCTTTCAGGATTTGGGCATGCACACCCAGGTGGCCAGTGCAAGTGGGTTTTCCACTCGACAGGTCCAGGATGTGAACTGCACTGTCACTCACATGGGATGCAGTCATCTTAAGCACCAGGCAATGGGCCGGTTCTAGGCAGAAACTAGATATTTTATTTTCTGTGTCTTGACTAAATCCACATGACTCTAAAGTAGGAGTTCCAAGGACCACCCTGTGAGAAATAATGCCCGTGTCTCCTGTCCTGTGACCAAGCCTTTCTCGTGTGTCTTCTTTTGCTGCAATGTACTGCTGTCCCTTTTCCGCCTTGCAAAATCCTGTTTTTAAAGAACTGCATCAAGTGTCAGCCGTTCTGTGGGTCGTTCCTCCATTCCCGTCGTTTCTGCCTTCAAAATCAATTGCCCCTCCATGTACTCTAGTAGTCCTCGGTAATTATCTAAGCTGCTCTCCACCGATGGAGTTCCAGTTTTGGAGATTACTTGTTTTAATAATAATATAGCTAACATTAATGAAATACTGAGTACGTTCCAGGCTGTGACAAAACTTCCTTTCCTTTTTCTCATTTTAAATCTTACACCATCCAATGGTAGGAAATGTGATTGATCCCATTTCAGAGATAAAGAAACAGAAGTTTCGGGGACCAGCAGTTAGCGTAATGGCTATGTCGCTGGATTCCCATGTAGTTCGAATCCCAGACCTGGTAGCTTAAACTCACGCCAGGCGCGTGTACATGCGTGCCCAAGATTCCCAAAGGAGAAATGGAGGAGAAGGGATTGCGGCGTGGCCATCCTCCCTGGGGGGGTGATTTCTCGCTCTCTGTCTCTCTTTCTGGTGAGTGCATGCGCCCTATAGGAAAAAACCTCTAAAAAAAAGAAAGAAAGAAAGAAAGAAAGAAAGGAATGAAGGAAGGAAGGAAGGAAGGAAGGAAGGAAGGAAGGAAGGAAGAAAAGCTTCAGGAGCTACAGCAGACATGGGTAACATTCCCCTCCTGTTTTTTATCGAAAGCACCCTCACCTCCAGTTTAAGTTTGGCACATAGCTGCCCCACCGAGACTACATTTCCCAGACCCCTTTGCAGTTTGCTCTGCCCTTGTAGGGACGGGGGTACACAGGGTGTGAGCAAGATCTCTTTCCTGAGTCTTGGATTTCCAACATTATCCTTGGAATTTGAGCGAAGACATGGCAGTAAGCCAACATCAACCAGGAGGATAACATGACCCGTACAGGAAGAGCAAGCCCGGGTCGGGGGAACAAGGTTCTAGAGGAGCTGGTCAAGCAGACGGTCTGGACTCCCCGCTCAGGACCTTGTAAAGCGGGAAGAGTAAATAACGACCCGCTTTAAGCTACCACACTTTGGAATCTCTTTATAGCAGGTGTGTGGCCATCACCCAAACTAATATAGGGGTTCGAGAACCTTCCCCACGCTAGTGTACTTGATAGACAGGATCACAGTTCGGATCTGAGCAGCCTGAATTCAGAACCTACACCTGCTTGTCCTCGCAGTCCAGTCTCTTACCCAGTGCCTGGAACACAAGGCGTGCGTGATGAATCGAATAGAATCTCCCTCTTGGGTAATAGCTTTACCCCCTAACTGTCCCCATATTTCACCTGGGCTGCTGACAAGTCCAAAATTGATTGATCTGAGATTTATCTCTTCTCCAGTCCAGCCTATGCAGCTGATTTTCTGATTAACCGTGAAATGCTTCACTGCTGACAGGACATCTTCTCACGAGATTAAGGGGAAAATCTAATTAATATCCCTTCAAGTTACTCTAACTACAATTCACTTTTAGTTCACACTTGAAAAATATCAAGAAGCTGATGATAAATATGCTAAAGGATATATCTGCTTATACAAAAGCCCGCCCAGGGTTAGAACCTGCCTATTGTTCTTCACATAGGACTGTCTTGAGTTGGAAGCAACATCCCAGGGACTGGGGGGACAGTTTGCACTGTGTTTAAACACGCCTATGGGACTATAATCTCTTATTAAATGCATTTCTGATTCAGTTTTATTATTACTGTTGTTTTAGGTTGAACTCCTTGATTGTCCTTTCCCTGATGGGTGACCATAACTGTCCCCACCACTCCACATTACAGTTCCACAAGGAGAGGAGGGGCTCTTACATATGATGGGCCCAGTGAGCACTTGAAGGATGTAAGAAATACAAGGGAATGTATGGCATGTGGTCTAGGAATGTGCGTGGGGCTACGTTGTGGTCAAGTCAGTGTGCCCACAAGCAGAAATGAAAGCGAGGCTCGGAAGGAAGACGTTTAATACATACAGTCCCAGGACGGAGGTTGGCATAGCCCCACAAGGCCACAGGGAAAGCTCCAGGCTTTGGGGGAAGCAGCGGAAGAGGAGAGTAAGAAGAAAGGCCAAGCCCAGAGCCTTTAGGGCAGGGCAGGGCAGAGGACAAAGTTCATTTGCTATGAATAATTCCATGGGCTCAGGCTACCAGAGTGGCCTTCATTTGCCTGGTACCTGCCCTGGGATGATTTGGGGCAGGGAAAATACCAGTTTAGTGTGTGAGAGTTAGGTAAGGAGGGGCGGGGGGGAGGGCCGGGCAGGCTGTGGACTCAGATTGGTTGGTTCGCATGTAAAGCTGTGTCCCCAGGTACTTGCTGTCTCTAAGAACTGACTGGCCATGAAAGGCCAGTGTCTTCTTGGCCAGCAAAGTATTTTAATATATCAAAGTATTACACAGCGGGACCAGCAGGTGGCATGGTAGCTGAGGTGCTGGATTCCCATATGGTCAACTACAGTTCAAGTCCTGGGCCTGGTGGCTTAAAACTCACACAGGGTGCATTCACATGTGTGCTCAAAATCCCAGGAGGAGAATGGAGAAGAAAGGATTGCAG